GAAATACAGAATACTTACGTTTAAACAGCCACTTAAATACTGTAAGTAAACTACTTGGATAAAAAACTAGACGAAAACTTAGCCTGGATCATTATAACAATATCAGAATTATTGAATTTCTACCAAAAAATTCACATGAAGATGAAAAATGATTTAAAAAAGCTTTTTAATCACCTGATAAAAGCTTTTTAAATCATAATTTAAGATTTTTTTTTTGAAATTTAAAAATGATTTTTGTTAAACTCCTTGGATTTAGTTTTTGTTTGATCCCACAGTAACAAATATCTGATTCATCTTCAATCAATGTCACACTAAAAGTAGAGATATTTATTTGTGTGATTGAATTCCACACTATAGAATGAAAATAATCTTTGTGTTGAATAAATTCAAAAAACAATTCTGTTAACCAGCCTTGATTCTTTATCTACAAAGTAATGATCTGTACAATCATATATACAATTGTACATATGTACATTATATATGTACATTATATATCTTTTCACAATATATAATATACAATATATAATATACAATATACAATATACAATATTCAATATACAATATATAATATATAATATACAATATATATTACAATATATAACACCTGTGTATCATATATACAATCATTTGCAAGGTTTGCATCAGAGTTGCTTCTCTTTACCGTGTTCGCTACTATCTGCCAAGCTTCAAGCTCTGTCCCATCAATGTAAAGTTGCATCTCTTTCTCTTTTCTAAAAATACTATCATGGTCACTGGTCAATAAAGCTATCACCTCTAATTCCATCAACCAAAACTCATTCTCCCTTGACTCGTCATTCAGCAAAGTCACAACCTCTAACTGTATCTATACTTGTATGTTCTTAAAACATTTCTAATTTTTTTTATCTGCACACCAACCCTTTGGAACTCCCTCCCATCTTCACATTTTCCCGAGTCATACAATATTCAACTTTTCAATTCTTCAGTCAACCATTTTCTTGTTCTTTAACTCTTTTCTTTGTTTTCTAATAATTTCTAACTTAATAGTGGCTGTGAGTAAAATGATGGAAAAACCATGTAAAATTGATCAATTCACTTTAGGAGACACTACTAAGTGATTATAGAAATAGCAACTGGCTATATCTAAAATATTTTGCAGTTTGCCATAACAGAATAATTAAGTTAAAATCAATATCTGCTCAACAATAATTTTAACAGGACTGAAAAATTTCACAAATTTCAATTTAGATCCTTCAACTATATTCTACAAAATGGTAACTCTAAAACATTGCATGCTGACCAAAAAATAAAAATTATTTCTTGAATGAGGAAAGGATATGTCTCTGGTGATCAAATCTCTTTTTTTGTGGATAAAAAGTTAAATTAAACAACGCAAATATATAAGTATATAATAGAAACAATTTTGTTGACAATGATGGATTAAAGAAGATTTTTAGGTACTTTATGATTTTTAATTATTAAAGAAAATAATACAATAATAGATAGTGTATGATGCTCTACACAGGCAAGGTTGGCAGTTGCTTTGTTTCTGCTAATCAACATAAAGTTATAACAAAGGGCTCTTTATGTGGCTTTAATGCACACCAAAAGCATACTTATTGACACATGGCAGCTTCCTCTGCTAACTCAGCTATCACAAAGTTAGGAAAGCTTTACTTAGCCAGCCTCAGAAACATTTCATATATTTAAGGCTTTTGCTAAAATTTGGCATGCTGGTCTTTTCCATAAACTCACGTAAATTAGTATTTCTAGAAAAAATTATATTTATTGAATCATTTTGTTATAACCGCAGTAGTTGTCTTAGATGGATAACATTCTCCTTTATTTTCAATAATATCTGGGGTACCACAAGACTTTAGTCCTTAACTTTATTAATGATCTTGCTGATAATCCTACTTCTAATAGCAAAGTGTTAAAAGTTTAAGCTCGTGAAGTTAAATAAAGCGTTAAACATTATTATATTAATTTAACAATTATATGCATCCTAATCCAAACTTAGAATTAAACTTAACACCCTAATTCAAACTTATTATTTAACTTAACCCCCTAATCCAAACTTATTATTAAACTTAACACCTAATCCACCTAAACCTAACACCTAATCCAAACTTATTATTAAACTGATACACCTAATCCATACTTATCATTAAACTTAACACCTAATCCAAACTTATTATTAAACTTAACACCTAATCCACCTAAACCTAACACCTAATCCAAACTTATCAATAAACTGATACACCTAATCCAAACTTATCATTAAACTGATACACCTAATCCAAACTTATTATTAAACTTATATTCATACTTTTTATGACAATCTATTTATCAACAGTTGCTATGCGCAACTTAATGCGCTCACTTTTTAAATATTGTGCAACACTTATGAAATTAATGCTTAAAAACTAAAGCTAAAAAATTGAAAAGAACCAAGCAAATGGCTAACTAATCAATGCTGCAATTAATAGGTAAGATGCATCATTCTTGTCAAGCCAACTCTTATCTAGTCAAACTATTAAAACTACTCTCTCAGAAGGAAGTAGAGCCATCAAGTAGAGCCTATTTTATCTGATTTTTATACCAACTTTCTAAAACAGTTGATTTGTTTTAGAAATGTGTAATGACAATTGTTTCAAAATGTTTTAAAAACATATAAGTAGAGGCACTGATGTTTTTAAATTCATTAACAGTTGATCCGAAACAATTCAAAAACATTTATGTAATTGGGACTCAACTACTCATTTATCATTATACTACAGCAAGAACTCAATATGTTTCCTTGTGATTTAATTCTGATAATGTGAATTATTATGACTTGTATATAATAACATATATTATAATTTATACATTATATTAGTATATATTATTATTATTGTTTTTTATTATATATTATTATTCTCTCACTGTTGTAAAAAAATGAAATATTGCTTGATGTCATGACCCAGAAAAATCTTTTGTTGGTATAATTGTACTATCATTAGTGATTACTAGGATATAAGTATCTGATTACACGGTCCGTGGAAGAAAATTCATTCTCAAATTTGCATAAAATGGCATTAAAAAAACTGCAATATATTCAACTCTAGAGCAATAAAACTTAATTTTTAATAACTTTTACTTTCATCCACTTCATAAATTTTGACAGATTGTATTAACTAAAAGTTGTTTAGTTTAGTCAAGTTAACTAAAAGTTGTTTAGTTGTTTAGTTATAACTTTTTAAGTTGTTTTAGGAAAAAAAAATTAAAAAATTAGAGCTTTTTTTAATTTCAATTTTCATTTTAATTACGATTTATTTGTAACAAAAAAATTGAAAAAAAAAATTGAAACTGCTTTTTTATTAACTATTATGATAAAATTCTAAGAAAAAGGTTGAGCATTAGTTATTGAATCAATTTTTTTCATAGATTTTCTGAATTAACAAAATTTATGCCAAATCAAGCAAAAATCCATGAAGAGAACAGGAAGACTGTTTGCTTCTTGTGTTTTGGCAAGGCTAGTCGCTTTTTAACCAGCTTCATGACAGAAAAAATGCAACAAATTTTGAAGCAGCCAATTGACTTTAATGATCCAAAAGTCCCAACTAGCATTAGTGAGCATTTCCGCTCCAACCTTAGGAGGCTTAAGGAGAGGAAGCTTTGAACCTAACTACAGCTGTTTGACTTCTCCAATATCAAAGTCCGTCAGGTTACAAGAGATTTAGTTTGTAATTGCTTGATTTGCTCAGTTGGCAAAGCAAAGCACAATTCTCCACATCCAGTCGTGGCAACCCAGAAACCTAAAGTAAACCAGAACTCAGTTGAAAGAAGATGTTCTCAATGCTTTTCAATAGTTAGCAAAGGTCTTTCACACAGTTGCTCAAAGTCCACTTGGCGAAGGAATTTAGCAGAAGTTGTGTTAAAGGACTCTGTTGTAGGTGAAAGAATTGCAGCATCAGTCATTGCCAACAAGGAAGCTTCATTCTATAGAACAATTTGTCTTAGTAGACCAGAGGGAATAGGAGGCCACTCTATTCCAGTTCTTCCGAGTAACATTGTATTAGATATTTAAAGTTTTAGCTTCATATTTTAATTCTATGTAATGCATAATAATGTAAAATCTTTCTTAATTATTTCAAAAGTTCATCTTTAAAAGCAAGAAGACTTTTCAATAAAGAACCAGAACTGACAGCAAAAGATCTTGTTTATGTGCAACACAACACAGGGCTGTTCAATTCTGGTGCGTCATTTTTTTTTGGCAATCTAATTTTGTGTTTAACACTATATTGATTGCGTTGCGTAAACTATACTGCTGGTTTCAACACCAACTCAAGTTGTTTCAAGTCGGATTGTAGAAAAGAACTTTCTCTCCAAGTTTGACCAGTTGATCAAAAAACTTGAAAGTCATTTTACCAAAACTTGGATCAAAGTTGCAACTGACAAGGACAAAAATCAGGTGGATAAACTTCTCTGCAAAGACTTAAAAGCTCTTTATCAGCAAGTTCTTGAAACTAGAAACTTCTCTGATAACTACATTATGATTCTGGGAGTGGATGGTGTTGTGGTTTTCTAAAAGTAAGCTTTGGAATCATGGAAAAAGTTTCAGTTTTATAATCTCCGAAATTTACTTTGAACGAATTGAAGAAAATTTTTATTTACCAGTGAATTTATTGCATAAATATTTTTGTTATGTTTTTGGGATGAATAAAAATTAAAACCAACTTTGTTAGTTACTTATCAGCTATTTAATGGGATTTTATGCAAAATTTAAAAAATGGATTTTCTTCCACGGACGGTGTAACCAGATTTTGGGACTTATAAACTAGTAACCACCAATGATAGATAATATATATCTCCAAAGGATTTTTCTGAGTCATGACATCAAGCAATATTTCTTTTTTTTTTCTTCAGTGCTCTATTTTAGAACAACAATAATAATATTTAACACATAAAATATTTACATTTTAAAAAAGTGACACTAGACTAGATTTAAGTATAATACCATAAAACATAATAAAACTCACATAAAACATTAACATCTTGAACAGTGGTCTTAGAAAATTGATTTCCAGATGAACTTGAGGTGCAGTTATATTGACCTGAACCTGTTCTTTGAATATTATGAATAATATAATAGCTTGTGTTAGCAATAAGAACATTATTTTTGAATATTTGATAAGTAAGATTAACATTTGCATTTGTTGTGCAGTTCAATGTAACATTTGTGCCTTCAACAGGATTAGGATCTAGATTTGTGAAAAATGGAGGATCTTGATCTAAAAATTAAAAACCACTTGCAAATTACCAGTTTTGTATTAAATCATACATACATACATACATACATACATACATACATACATACATACATATATACATACATACATACATACATACAATAGATACAATATAATACATACATACATACAATACATACATACAGACCTTGTTATGAGATTTTTTTGCGTAAGGAAAACGCGTAACACTAATGAATGTAACTTTAACACAGCTTTGATATTTAATCATTTAAAGTTAAATTTAGTATTGTATTTTAAAGTACTGCATCCAAATTAGATTTAATTTTAAATGGCATTCAAATTAAACTAGTATAACAGGAAATCTAAATTTAGTATTTCTAAATTTGATAAATCTAAAAAGTATTTCTTTAATCCTTATAAACCTTTTCTTAAACCTTTTCTTAAAAACAATTTTTAACAACTTTTGTTTTTTTTTTGTTTTTTTTTTTTGCATATTTAATGTAATATTTTTATTTGATTATAAACAATTTATAGAGAGATTTTAGTTACCAATAAGATATTTGTAAACAAAATTTATTTTCATAAATAAATTATTAAGAATTTTAAAAAATTTTAAATACATTTGTGAAAAAAGTTCCTTTGAAGAAAATACTTCTTTTTAAAAGAAAAAAATAAAGTTTTTTTTTTTTCTTTCACATATTTTAATCTGCGATGAAGAGATTTATGTTTTACGTAATAAATAGCAAGAAAAAAAATTTCTTAACTCAATAAATATGCTTAACTATTTTACATTCCTTTGAAACTCAATTTTACATTTTACATTTTACTATTTCCTTCAAAACTAAATTTAAATTTTAAAAATCATATTTAATTCATATTCTTTTAAAAAAAAATTATTTAAAATAAGCACAGTTGCAGTTAAATGTTTTTTTTTTGGACATAACATTTTCTGAATAAACGTCACATAAACGAAATTAAAAGATCATTTAAATACTAAAACTGCTGAGCAAGTACAAAAAAATTATTTTACATAAAATTTGAGCTGCCTAACGCTTTTTAATAAAGCCTGTATATATATACATACATACATACGTACATACATACATACATATATACATACATAGATACATACATAAATACATACATACATACATACATACATACATACATACATACATACATACATACATACATACATACATACATACATACATACATACATACATACATACATACATACATAAATGTTTGTATATGTTAGCAAAAATTGCACTACAAATTATTTTATTCAAATATTATATATTTTATATCAAATATTGAATGTGCAAAGTAATAAACAAGATTTTTAAACATAAAATTAAATAGAGCTATAAATACAAAACTAAACTTAACATTACTATAGTGTAAATAAAATTCAAAAATTTTCTAAACAATGATAATCAGTTTGGATAATTGTTTTCTTCACTAAGATTTTAATTAATTAAGATCAAAAGTATTTCATGCATAAAATTTCTTTTGCATGAAGTACTTTTGATTTAAATATTAGTGAAGAAAACAGTTATCCAAACTGATTTTCATTGTTTAAAAATTTTTTTAAAACAACGATAATCAGTTTGGATCACAATGATAATCAGTTTAGCGATCCCTAAATTTTAATTTAGGTATCGCTAGTTTATGGTATACTAAAAATTTAGTATGCAGTTTACTGTATAGTATACTGTAAAGTATACTATAATGTGCACTGTAAAAAAAAATTTTTTTTGGCAAAGCTGTATTATTGTTTATGTAAAGGTTTTAAGAATTTACTTAAAAAAAATGTGTTTGTTTTTTTATTAAATGTTTTTGTGCGTTTTATTATAATATTTAATATACATTTTATTATATACAAGGTAAAAACACTTTAGTTATGATAATACAATAAATATTGTATAACTATTTAATACATTAGGAAAATATAACTATTAAATTATCAAATCAGTCCAGAAATATTTCATAAATAAAAGTATATAGGTATACTAAATGGTATACTAAAATTCAGTATACCAAACATACGGTAAAGTTTACCGTAAAGTTATTATACTGTATATTGTAACTAGTGATCCCTAATAAGAAGCAACATTTTGTCTTAAATATTTAGCACATTAAAAAAGTAAAAATAAATCTTTATCGTTTTACATGCACAACTTTTCACCTTTATTTTTAATACAACAATAAGTTAATAAAAATTAAATTACATTTTTTAAACTTTTTAGTGTTATTATCCTAGCACAATCAATAAAAATAATTAAACTAAAAAATTAAAAAAAAAATAAGTTATAAAACTCCCATAAATGTTATTATTTACTCTTTTCAAGCCCATATAGAGGCAAACTATCAGAGCCTTCAATTATTAATTATATAAATATAAAAATACTCTTATTTAATTAAATATTACTTAAAATTTGAGTTACATTTTAGCTCTTTAATTTGGATTTATTTAAGTGTAATTTTTAAAATGTTCATATTAAATAACATTTTTTACAAATAAAAATGAAAATAAATAATTTTTTTAAATTAAAAACCATTTTAATTTTTCAAAAATAAAATATTATGTTTATATATGTTTAAATTAAAATTCTCTTTTTTTACTGTATTTACCTCCCTATAGCCACAGAGACCACTACAGTTCAGAAGTCAACGTGTATTTTTTTAAATTGTTGTTACAACAATTAAAAAAATAGTGATGAATGGTATTTTTTTTTCTATGTTAGTTCACTCCCCATGGCGGGTCAAAACTTAAATTTACACATAAAAGTAATTCTTAAAACTTAGTAAACTCATCAAAAATGTTTTAAGTTATGATAATATACAAAGATATCTATGGTGGAAGATTTTTTTTTTTTTTAATTTTTTACAAAAGTATTTAAAGTATTACAGATTTTGATTTTATTGCTATGTTTTAAGTGAGAACTGTTTTTAAGTTCTTTCTAATGTAACTTGTTCTATAATTTTTTATGAAATAGAAAAAACAATCTGTTTTTTCATATTTTATTGCTAAATATTGTACTAACTAAAATTTTTTAACAACTTCAAATTTTTTATATTATTTATTTTTATATACAATTATGCTTATTTTATATACAATTATTTATTTTTATATACAATTATTTAGTAAGATTTCAAGATTGGCCATAAAAGCTGTGTTTTTAGTCCATTTAACACACCTCTTTAAGTATTTATTGCATTCATTATTTTTTCTCCTTTTTTTATATTTATTTGTACAAATGTTATAGATTATTAGTCTTCGATATTATAAATAAACTTTGATTACATATTCTAATTAAATTTAATCATCTCAACTTTTTAACATTTATTATTTTTTTGTTTTCGTTTCATTAGTTTTGCCAATTTATTTTACTGTGCCACTAAACAAATAAAACAACAAACAACAACACTAATACAAATAAAAAAATTATGTATAAATAAAATATCCATAAAACAATCAGTCAAAATAAACAATAGTTACAATAATTTCCAAATTTTACACATTTTTGATGACTTTAAAATGTCTGAAAATTCAAAAAACAAATTTATGGAGTTTTGTTTTTGTTTTCATTTCTACGAAATAAATTAAACAACACACAATATTAATGTAATGCAAAAAATTAACTTTCAAAGCAAAATATTCAACTTTCATAAACAGTAGCTAATTACTGGGTTTTGAATAAAGGCAAAAACTAGCTGGAGCCATGACTATTTTTTAAATTTAAATAAAAAAATTAATAATCGGACAATTTTTGTTTCATCGTCTTCCCTCCTTTGAATCTTTACTTAACACACACATAAGTTTTTTGTAGTATATTAAAAAAAAATATTACAGGTAATATTTAAAACCAACATAAAAATACAGTATATAACTATGAACTATTTAATATGTAAAATGAGAGATTAAAAATTTAGACAACAGAATATAAGACACCTTATGCACCTGTATACAATATAAATTCATTGTAAATTTACTCACATAGCACATCTAAGTTTCCAGTACTATTAGCAGTCACACTTTCACTTGTTATTATTTGACATAGATAATTGCCAGCATCAGTTCTAGATACATTTTTGATTGTTAAAGTATTGGATGTATTACTTGAATAACGAAGTTTGTTTTCAAAAAACCAGTTATAATTTGAAATCTTCTCAGAACTAGGAGTAACACATGTCATATTAGCATCAACATTTTCTTGATATGTTTGATTTTGAACAGTAACCAATATTTGTACTAAAATGAAATAATATAAATTATATGCAATATATAAAAAAAATTAAATAATTCTAACAATTTAAAATTAATTAAATTGTAATCTATTTATATTAGTTTTGCATTTTTTATTACCATTTTTATTTTCTTTAAATGCAGTTAAAAGCATATTTAAAAGGGAAAAAAAAATTTCCAAATAAAATTTAAGAAAAAAAATGTTTATGCAACCGTTTAAATGCCCTTGTTAAAAACCCATTCTGATTCTCATTAAAAGATTTAAACCTGAAAAGCAAAAAATCTGCTTGTTGTACCCAGATTGCAAGGTGAGAGTGTGAATCAATGTATTTTGGACTGTGTTAATTTTAATTAAGTAAGTTTGTGTTACATTTATACAAAGACAGCAAAAAATCACAAGGTTCCATCATCAGAAATGCTGATTGATTGAAGCAAATGGTAGCAATTCCAACATAATGCTGTTGTACAAACTGCATGCAACCTTGATTTAACATAAAACCTTATATAAAATAGTTCATAGGTGCATTTTCTGATGAGTTTGGTGTCCACTTTCAGGATGAATAAACTTGATTTTTTGGTCAGTTAAAAATTTGATGGCCATTTTTGAAGAGTGACAAGGTGCGGAATATCGATGGAAAAAAAGTTTTTTAAATATAGTCTTTTGATATCATTTTTAATAACTTTTTAACACTTTCTATATAGTTACTTAAATTAATCTTAACTTTGACAAACATTAGAGATGTTTGTCAAATGCATATGAGATGTTTAATTTTTTTGCACAATTTCCACCTGATACCATGACAGTTTTTATTTTTATTTTACTCTTGGTGATTTTTGATATTTGGATATTTTTTATTTATGTAAATATGTTTTTATTTTTGAATATAATCAGGTGAAAAAGTTTTTTATCCGTTGTATGGATTTTTGTCCAGTTTTTTTAAATAAACCCATAAAATTTTTTTTAATCTTAAAAACATAAATGTAAATGATCATGTCCACATTCAGCTTTTTGGTCATTTAAATCATTTTTATTTTTAATTTTCACCATGTTAACACTAGTTAAAAATAGTTGTATTGAAACTTTAATTGATTCCTTTTCCAATAAATTTTTAATCATTCTATACAAATATCTAAGTTCAATTTTTAATATCCAAGTTCAACTTTTTTTAATTTTCATCACAAAATTTTCAACTCTACTGATAGTGGTTATTGATTTAATTGATTTAGTAATTTCCTAATCATTCAATAACTTTGATAATCAATATATGAATATCAAAGTTGTACCAACAAAAAATTTTGTCAATGCTTTTTGTTTACCTAAATTTTTCTTTTACCAATAATTACTTTAAATGTGTGACTAAATAACATTGTTATCTAATTAAATAACATTACTATGTTATTTAATTAGATACTGATATACTTTTAGGCCCATTAGACAAGAGTTATGCTATAAAAGTTAAAAAAAAAGAAGGAAAAAGAGAAATATAAAATCAAGGTTATTAAAAAAGAGAAATCTAGAAAGGAAAACATAAAAGAAAAAAGTTTTAATGTATTGGCAGCATTTGATAACGAAGACAAAATTTATAATATAAATGAAGACTATTGTTAGACAGAAGAAAAAAATCAAGATATTAGAAAACCCTAAAGTTTCCTTTATGACTGATAGATTGAATCTACCCAACAGAGAAAGATCTGGGATCATTATAGCTGTAGCTGAAGCATTAAGTCACAATTTAGATGAAATATTTATCTCAAAAAGCACAGGGAACAGATCAGGTAATAAAATTTGACAGCAAGTTTTAGATGATATGAAGAAAACATTTATTTCATGTACTCTTCCACTCACTGGGATTCAAAGCTGGTATCTGAGGTCGATGTTAAAGTGAAATGTTTGGCTATTATAGTAACAGAAAAAACCAAGTGCAATTAAAGGGAAAATGTTGTGTATCCTGGATTCCTAATACAACTGGGCAAAGCCAGGCAACAGCTACAATAGATGCTGTAAAGGCATGGAAACTAGAAACAATTGTGGCAATGATTTTTGCCACAACTCCACCAAATTCAGTTTGAATAAATGGTTCTGCAAAGGTAATTGAAGAGTATTTTAATAAAAAGTTAGTTTGGTGTGCCTGCCAACACCATATTCTCGAAAGAGTTTCTTCTACTGTTGGTAAATGACCAAGGTTGATATTTGACTGGGGTCGGGTTTGTGACTGGGGCTGCATAAACATTTATACATCCTAAAGAACTTTTTCTCTTCAAAATTTATCTTTGATTTTATGATGATGATGATGATGATGATGATGATGATGATGATGATGATGATGATGATGATGATGATGATGATGGCGATGATAATGACATCGCCATCATCATTATCGCCATCATCATTATCATTATCATCATTGCCATTATCATCATTATTATCATCATCATCATCATCACCTGCTGATGATAACATCATCAGGCTTTAATCTTCCTCTTTTAAGCTGTTTCTCTAATCATATAAGGGTCATAAAAAAACAGTCAAAACTCAAACAAGCTATCATCTCTATTACAATAAACTAAAACTCATTCTTGTTTGGCTTCTTATTCAACAAGTTGCATCCTTTTACTGTATCTGCCCCTATTTATTTAATACTTAATATTTATTAAATATCATATATATATGCCAGAATTTAATAAATAGTAAATGTAAGTATAAAATTATAATATATAAAGAATTATAAATTTATTTCTAGCCCCAGCTATCAACCCCTGCTAAATCTTATAATTTTGCCATGGATTTGCAAAAAGTCTCATTTTTAGCCGGGGCCAGGGCCCCGGTCACTTACTATCTACTGTTTACTTAAAAGTTTTTGGAGAATGAAAATCTCCAAATTACGAGCTATTTAGACACTTTAAAAATAAGGTATGGCCTAAACTTTCATCAACTTTAGATATTACTTTTAGAAAAATAAAAATCAAAGAACCTGTATCAAAGACCAAATAAGCAGAAGTAATAATTTTTTTGCCGGGTTTACTAACCGAAAATCTCGAAAAATATTTAGAGATGATTATCGAGAATGTTGTCAACTTGCTTTGCAATTACTCAATTCAAAACAAATAAATATACAGTAACACAAACCTGGAACCTTCCATCATGCTAAATGGATGTGTACAATCTTGTACACATCAAAAATGTTTTTGATGACCTGGCAGAGTATGAAGAAAGATTTATAGAGAAATTATCACGGTTTTGTAAATTTACTTTATCATTTTACGTGAAAATATGGCTTACATGCACAAGCACAATTGATGCCCCACTTTGAATTCTACAAAGAAATGCTTGTTTATAAAAAAATTGACAATGATGTTGCTGTTGCTGCCCTGGAAACATTTAATTGGCATCTTTGGTATTTAACCAAAGAAATGTCCCCTCTTTCATTATTTTCTGATAAGGTATCTGATCATGATAAAACTAAAATTGCTAAAAAATTCTGAAAAATATAAAAGAAAACTGTGAACATGATATAGGCTTCCCACAATTTCCTCTTCTGAAGCAGAGTACTTGTTTGACTGATTTAATTGTACCAAAATCAAGCAACATTCTAAATTTATTTGGATATTCAAATGAGGAAGATGGTTGGTTGGTAAAATCCCCAAAGTTTTGGAAAGCTTACACAAATTTTAACATGTTTGAGCATATCAAATCTCTGAAATCTGTAAACGAAACAGCAGAAAGAGCTGTTGAACTAATTCAAGACTATGCAACATTATGAAAGATGAAGAGCAGAAAGAATTTCTTTTATGTGCAGTGGAACACCACCAAAAAGTTCTTCCTCACATTAATGAACAAACAATTCAAAAACCTAATTTTTGGAAATTTTTGCTCTAAACAATCTCTTTTTTTATTTTACCTTTAAAATATTGTTATTTTGTTGTTAAAATTTTAAAATGAGATTTACTTAGTACTTATTCCCATTGTCCTTTAATATTATTAATTTATACCAATCATTTCTTTGCTTCTTTGTTTAATAATTAAGTATTTATCAAGTTTTTTGTTTTAATTAAAAATTATAATTTATAAAGTTCCATATTTAAGCAGAAAAAAATCATAGGACAAGGGTATTATGAGAAAAGGATGAAGGGGGATGGGGGGTCATAAACCAGGTGAAAATTTATTTTTCATAAATTATTATTTTTATTCATTACAAAACTATTTGAGATTATAATAATAGTTAATTCTATTAAAATAAATAATAGATATATGAAAGGAGTATATTAAGGATTGTTTATATATATATATATATAAATATACATATATATACATATATACATATATATATATATGTATATATATATAAATATACATACATTTATATATATATATATATATATATATATATATATATACATATATATATATATATATATATATATGTATAATTATATATATACATATATATATGTATATATGTATATATATGTATATATGTATATATATATATATATATATATATATATATATATATATATATATATATATATATATATATATATATATATATATATATATATATATATATATATATATATATTAAAAATTTTTATTCTTTTAAATATTATATGTTGGATTGAATATTAATCACATAAAAGTAACATGTTGAAAAAATTAAGAAATTAGTCTACAGAATCTTCTAAAATTGGTGAATAATCCAAATTTTTCTTAACAAAAACCTATTTTATAACTGGGTGGCTTTTATTATAAAAATATATTTATTTTTTTATATTTATATATTTTTTTTTTACATTTTAAGTTTTATATTTAGTTTATATGGTTTAATTTTTTACTAAATCACAAAAAATAAAATTTACACAATTATACATATTTTGTGATTAATAAAGTTCGCAGACAGAGAAAAAATAAAGACAGCATGATGCGGTTTCTTATTTTATATTTAGTTCAATTTAATTGTTTGTTTTAATTGATTTAATTGTTTGTTTTATGTTTATTTACATTTAGT